AAAATCCCTATAAAGAGTAAACAGAAAAATACCTCCCTACTTATAAAATATCAACCAAAATGGCACCTGGTGATACTCTGACATTGTGTCCTATGTTTACATTTCTAAATTTCAGTTTCTCATTCAACATGATCTAAACTGCTTTACTTTTCACTAAGAGGAAGAACTGCGAAAGAAATCAGCCCACAAATGGCTTACACTGTACACAAAAGAACACAGATCAAAAAAACATCAACAGGCTGGGAATGGTGGCTCACGCCTGTAATCCTAGCACTTTGGGAGGCTGAAGTGGGTGGATCACTTGAGCTCAGGAGTTCCAGACCAGCCTGGCCAACATGGTGAAAGCCCCATATAAAAAGAAAATTAGCCGGGCATGGTGGTGGGTGCCTATAATCCCAGCTACTTGGGAGGCTGAGCCTGGAGAATCGCTTGAACCCGGGAGGCGGAGGCTATAGTAAGCCCAGATCACGCCATTGCACTCCAACCAAGGCAACAAGAGCAAAACTCCATCTCAAAAAAAAAAAAAAAGATCAACAAGAACCCCTACTACTGGAGTTAACAGATTACAGCAGGTTACAGGTAGGGCTCTGTTGGGAAGAACAAAGCAATCAGAATCATGGGCTGATGAGGCTGTCCCTACTATAAAAGTCTCAAGCAAAAATGCTCCAATCCTGTATCCTCTGTATTTCCCTGAGCAGTTAATGGGGAGAAAAAGTCAGGTAAGCAGCTGTAAAGTTATGTCTAAGTCACTTGTGCACATAAAGTCATATAGGTGAGCGATGACCATTTAAAAAATGTTCTAGTCTGAAGCAAAAGGAACTACAGCTCATGATTATCTAGGGTTTCAAGTGCTTTTCTTTTTTCTCTTTTTTTTTTTTGAGACACAGTCTCACTCTGCCTCCAGGATGGAGTACAGTAGCGCAATCTCGGCTCACTGCAACCTCCACCTCCTGAGTTCAAGCAATTCTCCTGCCTCAGCCTTCTGGGTAGCTGGGATTACAGGCACCTGCCACCACACCCAGCTAATTTTTGTATTTTCAGCAGAGATGAGGTTTCACCATGTTGGCTAGACTAATCTCAAACTCCTGACCTCAGGTGATCCGCCCGCCTTGGCCTCCCAAAGTGCTGGGATTATAGGTGTGAGCCACCGTACCCAACCTCAAGTGCTCTTCCTTGAGGAAGTCACACATGATTTCACTCCACAACTTTTATTTCATAGGAGCAGTGTATACCTTAGTATCCTATCCCTTCTAACCCAACCACTAACTTCAAATCAAGCCTCCAAGACAGAAAATCTTTACTCTCCTCATAGTGGTAAAAAGGGCAAAAAGCAAGGCCGGGGGCGGCGGCTAAAGCCTGTACCCCAGCACTTTGCAAGGCCAAGGTGAGAGGATAACCTGAGGTCAGGAGTTCGAGACCAGCCTGATTAACATGGTGAAACCCCAACTCTACTAGAACACAAAAATTAGCCGGATGTCGTGGCGGGTGCCTGTAATCTCAGTTACTTGGGAAGCTGAGGCGGGAGAATCGCTGGAACTCAGGAGGCAGAGGCTGCAGTGAGCCAAGATTGCCCCACTGCACTCCAGCCTGGGCGACAGAGGGAGACTCTCTCTCAAAATAAAAAAAGACTTTACTGGCCAGGCATGGCGGTTCACGTCTGTAATCCCAGCACTATGGGAGGCCGAGATGGGTGGATCACCAGAGGTTAGAAGTTCGACACCAGCCTGGCCAACATGCTGAAACCCCGTCTCTACTAAAATTAGCCAATGTGGTGGCGGGTACCTATAATCTGTTACTTGGGAGGCTGAGCAGGAGACTTGCTTGAAGCCGGGAGGCTGAGGTTGCAGTGAGGCAAGATCACCCCACTGCACTCTAGCCTGGGTGACAAGAGCAAGAGTCCACCTCAAAAAAAAGAAAAAAGATTTTATTTGTGATTGGAAGAGAGTCATCTGTCTGCATGGTACCAGAGAAATTAGAAAGTTCGTAGGAACAAATGATGGTTTATGATTTCCTAAATTGTTAAAGGCTAGAAGGCTAGCCCTGTAGAAATTCAAGAAGTGTGTGTGTCAACCATCCTAAAACCATTTATTGTTCTTAGCTGTTTAGCTGAACTCCACTTAAGTTCTGGTGAAACTCTGAAATCCTAAAGGACAATGTTCTCTGACAATGCTGAAAATGGATATAAAACAAAAATGTCATAGCCAAGGACAGATTGACAGTTTTCGATAAACCACTCATAATTTTAGGCACTCCAAATCTTCTGTCATTTAAATTGGGAAGAAGAGGTTATTTAAGAAAGTTTGTTCCCCACCAATATTAAACCTCTGTCTAGATAGTTTCACAATTAATCCAGAGCCAGTCTTTTATACTGCTGACAAGTGAAATACACAGGATAAAGCAAATCATAAGCTTTAAGAGATGTTTAACTACTTTTGCTATTGGAGCAATTACCATGTTTGGATTTGGAGGAGACCATTATAATCTTTCTACAGTCCATCAACAGCGTGAAATGTAGCCACTTTTTGCCTTTTTTTTTTTTTTTGAGACAGAGTCTTGCTCTGTCGCCCAGGCTGGAGTGCAGTGGCGTGATCTCAGCTCACTGCAACCTCTGCCTCCCAGGTTCAAGCAATTCTCCTGACTCAGCCTCCTAAGTAGCTGGGATTACAGGCCTGCGCCAACATGCCTGGCTAATTTTTTTGTATTTTTAGTAGAGATGGGGGTTTCACCATGTTGGCCAAGCTGCTCTTGAACTCCTGACCTTGCAATACACCTGTAATCCCAGCATTTTGGGAGGCCGAAGTGGGCGGATTATGTGAGGTCAGGAGTTTGAGACCAGGCTGGCTGACATGATGAAACCCTATCTCTACTAAAAAAAAAAAAAAAAAAAAAAAAAATAGCCAGGCTTGACGGCACATGCCTGTATTCCCAGTTACTTGGGAGGCTGAGTCAGGAGACTCATTCGAACCTGGGAGGCAGAGGCTGCAGTAAGCCAAGATGGCACCACTGCACTCCAGCCTGAGTGACAAAACGATACTGTCTCCAAAAAAAAAAAAAAAATTTATACAATTTGTATTTGTATTATTAACTGTTAGTGAGAGCATCTGACAGAAAACATAAAGACCTACAAAATATCAAAGAGTACAGAGCAAACACCTGACTTAATAGTTGAGAAGTTTGTTTACGGACCATACATAACCTTTCTTCTTTCTGGGTTGGGGATTAGAGGGGGAACAGGTTTCAAATTAAGGAGCTACTCTATTAAAAATAAAAACCCTGTCACTTTTACTTTATCCTATTTCATGCTTATAATGCAGCATGAGTTGTTCTGGTTCCCTAATACTTTTATAGGAAAGGTAAAAAAAACCCCTCTCAACAAACTAAAAATAGAGATACACAAATAAAACTGCAGCTTACAAAGAAGATATGTGTGACTAGATATTCCAGCATCTGAGCTGGAATGTGAAAGGTGGAAGGAATCCTATTCAGCAAATTCTAAATAGCAAAAACGCAATACCAGGCCTGAGGAAATACCAAAATCTCAAGCAAAGCATCCAACATCTGGCAGCGTCTGTTCACAGTATAAAAGCAGCAGTTACCGTGAAACATCAGACACTTCTGATGGAAGAGCTCAGTTTCTGACTCACCTCCCGCCCCCCACCCCACACACATACACACACTTTCTCTCCTACACACAATCTATTGCTTTTCTTGTGGGCCTCCTCAGTCCTCCCTCAATCTTCATTCGTTTCTAACTATTAATACATTGAGCTCTCTACATTAACCTGGCTCCATTCTCCAAATTCCAATCTCCTGATACAGCCTAAGCATTCTTCCAGTCCATTTTCTATTATGCAATACTCCCCCACAACACTTAACAGTCACCCCCCGCCCATCTTTCTTCTCAGGCCTAATTTCCAAAACATCACTTCTCGCAGTCTCTACTGCAATTCAAGACTCCATTCCATCTTTCCCATCTGTTTTTAAGGTCTTTGACCTTAATTTCCTACATTCCTTAGGCTCTCTTCAAAATTTCCCTTCCTTCCCAAAGTTGGGCAGTTTAGAGTTGGGAATTACCAAAGGAGTTAGTCTGAGAAAATGTGTATGTGTGTCTGTGTGCCTGTGCGCGCCTAAGGGTGGGGGTGCGAAGTGAGAAAGGGTGACACATTAGTGGAGTATCTGACGGAAAAGATGGCTTCAACAACTCCCAGCCACCGCAACAAAATTCACCATTCCCTACCTCTCCAGAAATCGAAAGCGTCCAATAACTCTTAAATATCTTTTAAGTCCCATGGCTTCTCTTCAACATTTTCATCCAATTAGCCCACAATCAACTTAAGATTCTACCTGCCTCTCACACTAAGTAGTTTCTCTCTACTTCTTAGGCCTCTATTTACTTTCTTAAGTTTCTCTATTCCCTTCCGTTTCTCTTGTTTCCTATCCCCAACTTTTTTTTTTTTTTTTTTAATGAGACTGGGTCTCACTCTCTCGCCCAGACTGGAGAACAGTGGCCGAATCTCGGCTCACCGCAACCTCTGCCTCCCAGGCTCAAGGGATTCTCCAGCCTCAGCCTCTCGAGTAGCTGGGATTACAGGCGCACGCCACTACTGCCCGGCTAATTTTTGTATTTTTAGTAGAGACGAGGTTTCACTACGTTGGCCAGGCTCGTCTCGAACTTCTGACCTCAAATGATCCACCCGCCTCGGCCTCCCAAAGTGCTGAGATTACAGGCGTGAGCCACCGCGCCCGGCCACCTACCCTCACCTTCAATCTCCATCTCTCCTCCTCAAAGACAACCAACGTTTTCGACAACTTCTTAATCAAACTTATCTTTTCCTCAAACTCCTCCTGCCCGCTCGGAAATTCCTATTTGAAAGCCCAGTTCGCCCCCGCTTACCGGTAACCCCTAGGACATTCCCAGCTACAGGTACCCTCTTAGGTCTCGCTCTTCCTCCCATCCCATATTCCTCACCAGCTCCCTACCCACGCCCTGCCCGGCTTACCTGAGGACGAGGTACAGGAAGGGACCGCGGGATCAAAGGATGAAAAACCGACCGAAGACGACGGCCCGGAGGAGGCCGACGCCATCTTAGCAGCCCCCTCCCACTCAGAGGCCTGGCTCTCTTTCAATCCGGCTCTTCCTCTTCTCGGAATCGAATCTTCCCAACGTCTCTTTACAGAACCCGCGTTCTCAGGGCCACCTCCCCGCCCCCTCTGGGGCCTCCCTCAGACACGTCGAGCCGGCTCCTGGACCAGCTCAAGGCCACACCATTCGCCTGACATAGGGGAGAACTCACGTCTCGCACTCTCTCCACAAGTTTAACTGCTTTCCACAGGGGATACTTTCCCCTTTCACAAAAGAGTAAGCTTAAGCTGGCTGCTGGGACCCTGCGTCCAGACCAAGCCACATCTGGGAAAAAAAACGAGGCATGAAAAGTCCAAGAGGAGCGAACGCCCCCTCTCCGTCTTCCCTAGCCACGGCCTGTTTATCGCCCAACCCGTTCGCTTCACTCCGGGTAGCCAAGCAAAATCCGAGCACTGCGCATGCGCCCGACCTTCTCGGCGCATCAGCCCACTGATTGGGGAGAGAAAAGGAGCAAAACCAATCGGGAGGCTGCTAATGGTCACGTGAGGTAGGTCCTCACGCCCTGACGAGTCCACGGGTGGAAGATGTGCGCGCGCGATTTGGCCGACCTTTCCTACGGTGGCTCGGCAGATTCGCTTAGGTTCAGTTTTTTGCTAGGACTGGGTTGAGTGAGCTGAACTCGGGACAAGAGTCGGTCAGCCAAGTCCTCTGAAATTCCTAACCCAGAAAAGAACTCTCTGCGGGTGTACTGGTGTCAAGTCAGAGACGTTAAGGTGTCGAATATCACAAAACATTTAATGCCACCAAGAACTCTTCTTAGTCCTTTTCCTGTTTTACTACTCTGTTTACTATTTAGTTAAACGTGCGTGCCTGTCTTACCTTCCTCTGAATGGCATTCGAAATAGATGTGTGTTTTGTTTGCCTCAAGCACAAAGCTAGGCACAGTTACGCAAATATTTGATGCATGAATCAGTGAAGACCTGTCAAAAAAGGGCACGGGGGGGCAATCAGGGACTTATCACAACCTTCCTGGGACCCAAGCCCTTTAGCTTCCAACTGTCAATTATCTGTGCTCCAAAGGGCATGGAGATACACAGAAAAATTTCTCCCATTGTAGTTTTTGTAGTAACCCTGCTCGTTTTTAACAAACTACCCCGTAGGTTATGAACCCTGGTGGGAAGACCTGTCTCTCTGAACAGACTGTAAAATTTCTGGGGAGCAAGGACTGTGTTTGCTTCATTCTTGTATCTCCAGCTCCTCCCGTGACTTTGTACATAGTAGGGGCTCCATAATTATCTGTGGAATGAATAAATGAAGAGAAATGGGAAAACATTCGGGGTAAGGGTCGGTTAGATAGATCCTCTCAAATTCATAGCCCGTGAAAGAACTCCATTAAAACAGGTTTTGTGGCCTGGCGCGGTGGCTCACGCCTGTAATCCCAGCAGTTTGGGAGGCCGAGGCGGGTGGATCACGAAGTCAGGAGATCGAGACCATCCTGGCTAATACGGTGAAACCCCGTCTCTACTAATAGAACGCTGGGCGTAAATGCATGGGGAATTTTATCCTTTTTTTTTTTTTTTTTTGAGCGTGAGTTCTCGCACTTTTGCCCCAAACTGGAGTGCAATGGCGCCATCGTCGCCACCGCAACATCTGCCTCCCAGGTTTCAGCAATTCTTCTGCCTCAGCCTCTCGGTTAGCGAGAGCTGGGATTACGGCCAACGCTCCACCACGCTGGGGCTTCAAGTTTTGTAATTTTTTAGTCTAGAGACGGGGTGTCTCCCCATGTTGATCAGGCCTGGTCGTTGAAACTCCCGAAGCCCAGGGATCCGCCCGCCTCCGCCTCCCAAAGATGCTGGGAGTTACAGGCTGTGTGAAGCCACTCGCCCCGGCCTTTTTT